TCCTGTAGAGTACTACAGATGCTTAGGGTGCTAACACCTTCCCTAGGTATAACCAACCCCCGATCCTCGAATCTCTTAAGCGTTGTCGTTACATCGCGAAAAAGGTTTTTCTTTCTTTAGACATTTCCTTTGGATAAAATAAAGTTCGGTTGTAAAAGAATTAAGATTCAAGATAACTTAATAGCTTGATATCCAATTTTCACCGCAACAGTTGCCTTGAAGCATAAGCTAAAACTTGCTGATGTTGCATTAACACACCTCCCCATCCCATCAACAAAGCATCACAATATACAACAATGGTTTTGTCAGATTCGGCAAAATCAAAACATGAGTTGCTGCCAACCTTCTCAAAAGCTCTTGAAACTTTCTTCACACTTTGCATCCAAAACAAAAGCTTGAACCTTCCTAGTCCATTGCGTCAATGGCAAAGATAACTTGGAAAAATCCTTCAATGGATTTTCGATAATAATCTACCAACCCAAGAAAACTTCTAATCTTAAAAACAGGTTTTGGAGCTTCCCATTGCGATACAGCTTCAACCTTTGACATATCAACCGCAATAACTCTACTCGAGATCCCATGACCAAGAAAACTCACTTCCTTCAACCAAAACTCACACTTTGACAGTTTTGCATACAACTGCTTCTCTTTCAACGCTGATAACACAATTTTCAGATGCTCAGCATGATCCTTTTTACTCTTCGAATATATCAAAATATCATCAATGAACACAACCACAAACTTGTCCAAATAAGGATGGAAAATCCTGTTCATATACTCCATAAATACACATAGTGCATTAGTCACACCAAATGGCATCACGAAATACTCATAATGTCTATACCTTATTTTAAAAGCAGTCTTCTGAATATCTTCAGCCTTCACACGAATCTGATGATACCCAGATCTCAAATCTATCTTACTAAACACACTTGCAACGACTAACTGATCAATCAAATCATTAATCCTTGGAAGTGGACACTTATTCTTGATAGTCACTCTTTTCAATTGTCTACAATCCACACAAAGCCTCACAGAACCTTCTTTCTTCTTAACTAACAAAATTGGTGCACCCCACGGTGACACACTCGGACAAATGAATCTCTTCTCAAGCAGATCTTTAAGTTGACTCTTCAACTTCTTCGATTCTGATGTGGACATCCGATATGGAGCCATCAATATCAGACTAGTTCCAGGAACTAAGTCGATCTTAAACTCCCCTTCACGTTTCGGCAGTAAATCACTTATCTCATTAGGAAAAACTTCCGGACAATCACAAATAATTGGAAAACCACCAACTTCCCCACTTTTATTAACACTCAAAGTTTCCATCAAAATAAACATATCAACACCATCCTACACCGACTCACCAAAATAATCGGTAAGCACTTAGCTTAACTCAAAACAATTCACTGCACATGCCATCTAAGCTTGCAAGACACGTCTATCCCATCCAACATGACTCCGTCTACTATCAACAAGAGATTAAGGGTGATCAGTTCATTAATTTGTTAATAGACAGCCGAAAATCATGATGGGGCATAAACCATCTTTACCAAACTATAATAGCAGTCATCGATACACTGAGCCATCACTCCACACTTGAAGCATCCTAGAGAAGCACAAGCTTCTCCCCCACTTGTTTCATTCCCACTTCTGCAGACAAAGGTTAGAAAATAAACGTGTACCGACAGTGTTTTCACACACATGTCGCATACTAGGGAACAAATAGCATTAGACAACTTGGTCGGACGGACCAACTTGCTCTGATACCACTAATGTAACACCCTTTTCTACCCCACAAATATAATGACAAATCAATCACATTTATCAGAGTAAAATATTAAACACAATAAAAATCACCTCAAATGGTGTACATTTTTCAATAACTCAAATAAAAGTCAATGCTCCGTAAACAACGGGTTTTCCCAAAATTACTCAAAAATTGCTCAAATGGCAGCATAACTCAAAAAGGCAAATCCAAAGTTTTCCTTGCATAGCAACATAATCAAAATAACAAAAATCAATAAAACATGGTTTAACTCAAAGACCCCAATCCGATGTTACACTATCAGAGCAAGACCCTTTAAGTCAACCAAAACGTCAAAAACTCCAAAAGGTCATCGACGACATCCCCGGCTAAACCTGGTCTCTGCACGTTACCCATGTAGAGGTAACATTCAAACATGTAGGGTGAGTAAAACGATTCATAATAATCAATATAGGAATCAATATATAAAATAACATCATTTTCGTATTCAACATCATCATAATCATCAAGGAAACATCAAAAAGCCATAATATCATAAATTACACCAAATTGTCACATAAATGCAAATGCAACAAGACTCATGCATGTGGTACCAATTCATCAAAGTTCGATGAACACTGGGTCATCAACCCTCCATAGATCTCCATCAATAGAATCAATTCTACACAAGAACCGGAGCACAATAAAATACTTCACATCCGCACAATGGGACTGAAGCCACAAGAATCAAACACTAGACCGAAGTCCAGAATGCATATGAATGCATGATGCACACGTCAATATCATTCTCATAATAAACTCATTAGGTGCATCATCATTCATCAAAATCGTCATAATAATCATGTCATCATATAATCATCAAAACTCATGTAATCAACATCATAACACATCACCATTACTCACAGGAATCATCACACAGTCATGTATTAATAACATAGGAATCACAGTCATACTCCGGGTAATTCATCAAGAAAATCACAACATCAAAGCATTAAAATAGCGCTGCACAAGAACACAATTCGTGAAACTCTGCTACGTTTGCTGGACAGTTTGCCGTGCAAACTCGCGATTACAACAAAACACTGTTATGCACCAGCACCAAAACCAGCCCAAAAGTCCCTACGATTTCCTTCCCCAATGTCCCCAAAACATCCCTAAATTATTCCTAAGGTATTACGGCAATAAAGGCACAAAACCTACGACTTATTAGGCCAATCCCGTATCATATTTACGCCTCCAATTCTCATAAGATCCTTACAGTTTTCCCACATTCATTAGAGTTCTCATAATCAATTGCCCTATACGGTTAAAATCTCAACACCAAATTTTTGCCACGAAGGCCTAATTTCCCTTACTCCCACATCAGCCTCAAACCTATTAGACCATCAGTTCAAATCCCTCAAACTCATTAAACTCACTAGAAAGGCAACAACAATTCAATACTCAAAATCCCTAAACCCTTAAATCGGCTTTAACAACATTGAATCACATATTGAAAACAATGAAGGCAATACTCCACATACTTAAACAACCTCAAAAACAGATTTGGCCACGAAGGCCTAATTTCCTCAAACTTAAAAACCTCCTAAATCCTTAAATCAGTTTTAAATACGTTGAATCATATATTGAAAATAATGAAGGTAATACTCCTCATACTTAAACAACCTCAAAAACAATTTTGGTCACGAAGGCCTATTTTTCTCAAACTCAAAAACCTCCTAAATTCTTAAATTAGCTTTAAATACATTGAATCATATATTAAAAACAATGAAGATAATACTAAACAACCTTAAAAACAGATTTGGCCAGGAAGGCCTAATTTCCTCAAACTCAAAAACCTCCTAAATCCTTAAATAAGCTTTAAATACGTTGAATCATATATTGAAAACAATGTTAAACAACCTCAAAAACAGATTTGGCCACGAAGACCTAATTTTCTCAAACTCAAAAACCTCCTAAATCCTTAAATCAGCTTTAAACACATTGAATCATATATTGAAAACAATGAAGGTAATACTCCCCATACTTAAACAACCTCAAAATAGATTTGGCCACGAAGGACTAATTTCCTCAAACTTAAAAACCTCCTAAATTCTTAAATCAACTTTAAATACACTGAATCATATATTGAAAACAATGAAGGTAATAGTCCTCATACCTTAATTTGCCGATTCCAAACCTTTCTCCTTTGAGTTCTTGGAAACCTCGCGAAGCTTTGCCTCAATCCTCTTCCTCAGAGCTTGGGCCTCTATTTCTTGCCTTTTCATGGTCTAACAAGAATGAATCATAATTCTTTCAAAAATTTTTTTTGTTAAACCTAACTTTGAGCCTTTAAAATGAGCTTTCCAATTTCACCCTCTCCTCAAATATCCACTTTGTCCTCAATTCACTTATATTTATTTAAATTAATAATAATACCAATATATTCATATTATATACTATTATTTAAATAAATAACTTAAAATTCATAATTTTTGATATTTACACCAACCACCGAAAATCACCAAAAATACGAATATTCACATTTAAATAAATTAAATAAATATTTCAATAAATTTAAAGTGTTATAATTATTATCTATATTTATATGTCACGTTCCAAACCTTAGAAGTAATTACCGATTATTATCTAGGTTTATAAGCAATATTACAAACCTTAGTCGGACCAAGATCAAATGTTATCAATTTATAAATAAAGAGCTCAACAAAAACTTTAATCATTCTCTAATAACTCTAAACACTTAGAATTTATAGCACACTGTTGACGAAATTTCTCCTACCACTTAGCTATACACAACATTGTCTTATAACATAATGGCCAAAAGGCCTAGCCTTTTCTAACTTAGAAAGAATAATAACAAATACTCGTACAAATATTAACTAATTTCTTTATGTGGACGACAAACTTGTAAAATAATAAATTGTAATTAAAATTTAATACTATATAATCAATTTTTTTAATTTCCTTTTTTATTCATTACTAAAGGGGACACATATTTTCTTTAAAAAATTGAAAAACATGAAGAGGCAAAACGCGCAATAATTGGTTGAAGGAATCACTTCAAACACCTTCTTCATCTGATTCCGTTCCTCTCTCTACACGCGAGCTGTCACTAAACTAAGCTATAAAATCCAAATCATCTCAATCAATCTCGTTTTTTTCCATAAAACAGAACAGTCCAAACAAATTCAAATTCTTCTTCCAAGTTTATGCTCGAATTTGAAAATCCATGGCGTCGAACAAGATCGAGCGGGGTCACCAAATGTACCGTGACGGACTCTACAAAGAGGCGTTAGGGTTCTACACGGAAGCGATCGCTATGGCGAAGACGAATCCACAGAAGATCGCTTTGCATAGTAATCGTGCTGCTTGTTTCCTTAAACTTCATGATTTCAAGAAGGTTCGTTTTCTTATTGTTCATCGCTCACTGTTCTCTGTTAATCTATCGTATTGAGATGAATTAGGTTAATAGTTTCAATTTATTGGGTTTTAGTTAAGGTTGAACCGATTCAAAGCAACTGAGTTTGATTCTAGGTTTGAATTGGAACCATAATTGGCTAGAATTTACTTGTTAGGAGGTAGAATGATGGTTAGTTAGAGTAGTTAAAGTAGTTAAGGGCTGTTATAGAAGTTAGTTAGTTAGTCGAGGTTGTTATAGGGTTATTGGTGTAAGTAGGTGGATACAATGTAGAGTGGATCATTATTGAATATTGTAATCAATTGTGAATAGAGTAGAAACTCTATTGCTGATTTGCGAGATTTGATGCTGCAACATTTGGTTCAGATGCCGAAATTTGACTGGGAATAGAAGGTTGATCCAGTGTAGCAATCATCGATGGTTACCGGTCCTTTGTCTGTGGGGAACTAAAATGGCATAAGAAGGTTGAATTGCTACTGTTCAATGGTAGTGATCCTATTGGTTGGATTGCATGTGTTGAAATATTATTCGACATTCATCCAGTTTTAGAAGGTGAACACTTGTGATTGGGGTTTGTCAGTAGGAGTGTTCTGCAATTAAATGGTTCCATTTTCGGTGTCAATGAAGTTTGTTTGGCTCTTGGGATTCTTCCACAATTGCTCGGAAATTTTATTTTGGGGACAAGATGTTTGGTGGTGTGTTCGAAAGATTGAAAGCATTGAAGCAAGAAGTGCAAAGGGAGAGAAAAAATTGCATAGAAGAAGTAAAGCAATTGGTGGAGATACCAGAGAAGAAGGAAGAAATGGCTAGGGATCAGATTCTTGGTGATGTATAGAAGAGTGGTGAAAAGGTTGGTGCTAGTGGATAATTTTCAGTCTTTATCAGTGGTAGAGTCGCAAGAGAAGAATCACAATTCCTTCACGGTACCTTAAGCATTCGAGTCTGATCCATCGGCACCATTAAATCTGGCTCCATTGCCGCTGTCAAATCCGATTCCATTACTGCTGTCAAATCCGGTTCAATCGCTGTTGCCAAATTCTTCAGATCTCCAAGTTCTTATCTGGTCACTTCCCTGAGAAATGGCTGACATTGGGCTACATGCAGTGACCACTCAAATAACCAATTTTTCTTTACCAAAACATCTAGATCAGAATTTGGAGATGGTGGAGAAGGTTGGGTTCAAACCACTGCCTTCGCCTGAGCTGCTGGACTGCAATCTACCAGCAAAGGCTTTTCTTGAGCCTACACCACAAGCCTTGCAAGCTGTGAAGTCTCTTTGGCTTGATGCTTCTTTTAAGGAGCCTGTTGGTGAAGGCAGTGTTATGAAACTGACACCTATTATAGGGAAAGTGTGCAAATTCATTACAATTAAGGTGGCTTTATTTCTGTCGGAAGTCGGACATATAATAGTGTGCAGAATAAATGACCCGTGAGGATGGAAGCGAGAAGAAAGCGGTGAATGGATCTTTGTATTTCCATCACTGGGATCCAGGTGGCAGCAATCATGACAATCAAATTGAAAGTTTGTTGCAAAACAGTTCCTTCATTTACTCCTTACTACATTAGTGGGATACAGGCGGCAATATTCTAAAGAGGAGCATGCTGCATGAGATGGGCAGTACTTTAGTTTTCATGAATATATTGAAAGGTAACAGGGAGCCAATGCATGTTGTCAAAGTATTACACCTACGAGAAGAATATAGTAGATGTCAACTTTGAGGACAAGGTTGTTTTGTGGAGGGCTGTATTGTTAGGATCTAGAATAGTGGTTAGTTAGAGTAGTTGAAGTAGTTAAGGGCTGTTATAGAAGTTAGTTAGTTAAGGTTGTTATAGAGCTATTGGTATAAATAGGTGAATTACAATGTAGAGTGAATCATTATTTAATATTGTAAATTTGTAATCAATTGTGAATAGACTAGCAACTCTATTGTGAAGGGGAAACCTTGAGCAGAGCTTGCTCTCATGTTCTTTCTTATTTTCTAATAAAGAGTGTTCTTCTTTGGAATCCAATTCTTTGGTTAGAACACTTCTTTTTTTGTTAAACTCGAGAGGATCAAGACAAAGATAAATTGTTTGAGAGGGAGGAACTTTTTGATTTTTTAAGGTTTATTGAAACAATCAAACTTAATTCTGGCTTTATAAACATTTCTCAGGAGGTTCAGATATTTTTGTGATATTTTAGGAAATCTAATTATTTGGATTTGCTGGTCAACCTTTTTTGCAGCTATGTGCAAATTATGACTTGTAAATTAAGAATTTTTTAGTTGAATCAAATTTGTTTGTTTTCTTTACTTGTAGCTATGTAGAACGATAGGATCTACTATTTGTAATTGTAATGAGTACTGTTGACAAATTGGCTGTGTTGTTGATGTTGTATTATTATTCTTATTAGCTTACAGTCTCATGCTCGATTCGTGACCTTTTGGTATCCATTTTTTGTGACAATGGTTGGGATTTATTTAGACCTGTGAATCTGTGATCATAGAAACATAACTTGTTTACACACCTGCAAACAGCAAATTTTGCTGTACTTTTGAGAACCCTTTTTGAGCTCTAAGCCTATACCTAATCCTAGTCAAACATAGTGGAATATTTGCTAGGATTTCATTATTGGAAATGATGCCTTTTCTTGTCAGTTTCCCTCAGTAGTTGTAAGCTTCTGCTGAAATATTTGCAGTCTAATAGTTGTTTTTATGGGATGCAATCAATGATGGTTACTATCATTTCAGGCAGCAGAAGAATGTACCTCGGTGCTTGAGCTTGATAGCAATCACAGTGGAGCATTGATGTTGCGGGCTCAAACATTGGTGACCCTGAAGGAATACCATTCTGCACTTTTTGATGTCAACAGACTCTTGGAGTTGAATCCATCCTCCGAGGTCTATCAAAACCTTCATGCACGCTTGAAGACACAGTTGGTAAGGTGCTGTCCCTTATTTCTTATGTTTTCATTTCAGTTGCATGTAATCTATGTTGTCAATAGCGCGCTATAGAGGAGTAGCATAGCACTAATAGGGTTTAGCACGACGCTTTTGGCCCGGCATCAACAATAGTAGGTGTAGCGACCGCTATTGTGGCCCCAAACCATTATCACAACAGTTATTAGGATTTTGAGGCGAAATTCTTTATCCTTTTTTTTGAACTCGTCTTTTTAAGGGTATAAATGTCAATTCGGGTCATTTTATGAGTAAAATTTATCTTCTTCCATCTATTATGTTCTTGTTTACAATCAATCTTTATGTTCTTTGTACTTTTGGTTCAGTTCTGGTATGTTTTTCTTCTTTGCTTAAGTTTTATTGCTATGTATTTTAGGTTCTTTAGTTATTAAGTATGAAGGTCTCTTTAATTTTGTGCATTTCTGTTTGCTTCGCACCCTGTTTTTTGTCTTAGTAAGAGTGGTTATCCCACTATCAGTTATACTCTTATAGCACTTTAGGGGATCGGTGCTATGCAATGCTATCTGGGATTAACAACACAGCATGTAATTAGGTTTGAAGGTTCTGAGGGATTACTGTGTAGTGGTTTAGGTTTTTTTTCTTCTTTTTTTCTGTTTTCCATGTCCTTGCACATCCTGTTGATAGCAGAAACACATTAAATGCATGTTAAACAATTAAAAGACAAAAAATGGTTATATGTTGGTTAAAACTAGTTGTATTCAATATATAAAATATATATGAGAAAGGAAGAGAGGAAAAGTAGAAGTAGAACAAAAAGGTGGGAGAGAAAAATGGGTGCTCTAACCTTGTAAAACTGGCCTAGTACTTCGTCACTGTAATTAATATACTTAATCAGCTGGTACTAAAAAATGGTACTTTTTTTCCTTGATCAAGGAAAGTCACTTACTCCAATACCTGAGTCAGAAGAGGAGTTTGAAGAACAGGAAGATGAGAAGGCTGAGGTGATGCTAAAAGGTGAGCAAAAGAAGGAAGACATAGGACAGAAACATGCGGCAACTTCTAATGTTAGGATAGATCAAAAGGTTGAGCTTGGCAAAGGTGTAATTAATATTGAATGTACCCCTAAAGAAACAGACCCCAAGTTTTCATCCAAACAGGGAAGAGACCAAAACTATGAGCCTATACAGTCAACAGAAGAACTTAAAATTCCGAGAGCACTAAACAACGAATCAGCAGAGCAAGGATGGCAAACAATTCCAAAACCAAAAGGACATTCAGCTCTGGACTATGCACGGTGGGACAGTGTTGACAATGATTCTAGCGAAGATGATGAAGATGACGACGATGAATCTTTTCCCCAGTACCGTTTTCGTGTGAAAACAATTGGTGTACGTCCTGTGAAATGAGAGGATTCAAGTACGGGGTACCAAGAAATGGCTGTTATGATCTGTAGTGACCTCTGATGGATAAGAATGGACTGGTTGAAATAACTCAATCATGTTATCTGCTTGAAAATCTACCAATCCTAGGGAAGTACTTTTACCCGATGCTTTAGCTGTCAATGTGGATTCCCTCTGAAGCTGTCAACGTTCTACTGTTCAGTTAGTTTGTATCTTTGTAAATAGTAAGTTTAAGGGTTCATGTTTCCATATTGGAGCAAAAGTACAGGGAGAGTTTCTCACCATGCCTTCTGAGGCCCATATAGCAGGATCAATAGATTGAGCTCCTATTTGTTTCTTTAAAAATAAAATGGAGATGTGTATTACTATAGTTTTAGAATACAAATACATGAAGGATGTCACTATTTTTATCACTATTCTTAAATGTTTTCATGTATATTTCAAAACTTTAGGATTGAATACCAGTGCAACTGGGGCAGGGCAAGGTGATTATTTTTTTGTAGTGATCCGCTTTACAATTAGTATGGGTTTTTCTTGATACTTATATTTTGTGATAAATAAATAAATAATGAGAATGCAGCTGCGAGCACCCTTTGTTATTATTTCTTTCTATGATGGAAAAGTAAAATCTATTTATCAAGTGGCACATCAACCTATTTATCCACTCATTGTCTTTCTTTAATATGATTCATTATATTCATCAACAGGTTTATGTTGTCATATTTTAAGGGGATTTTTCTTCCCACCCGTTCCCATCCTTAGTGGTGAATAGTTACCTTTTAGAAATTCGAAAATGCTTTTAAAATAATATGAAAGTTAACTTCAGGACGCCTCCGAAATCACACCATAACACTTTGCAAGTGAATTTTGTCAAAAATTAATATGAAAGTTAACTTTTGTATTAATGAAAATTAATAGAGAAGATAACTTTCATATTAATGAAAAAGGGAGTCTATATGTTATGTTCCATACAAATTCCTAACACATTATAAATTCATAAGTGTTTATTTCACTATTCAATGGGCATTACGGAAATTAACTTTTGCATTAATCCTGGAGACATTAAATTTTCCTTCTGTATAGTAATTTTTGTTATAAATTTGACATATCTTAATATATTTTATATAGTTCAATCAAACCGCACGTTAATCACAAAATACAATTGAAATATCATATATAGTTCAACTAAACCATACACTTATGTAGGGGTGGTAAAATAGGTCGAGTCCGCCAGATCGGCCCATTTGACCCACCATTTTTGGCGGGCTGGGTTGAGGTTTCCGGCTCAGTACTTTAAGTTGGTCTGTCCCGCCTAACCCACTTAAAAAGCGAGTCGAGCCGGATTGGGTTTTACCCGCGGGCTTTTTGTTAAAACTTATTTATCTTTTTACTTAAAATTAAAACAACACCTTTTTTAGGATTATATTGATTGAATTGTATTATAAATTAATTATACAAACAAATTGAATTATAATGGTAACGTTCTGTCTATAACTTTCTAATACATGTGTTGATTAAAAAAACTTGAAATAAAAGAACAATTGTATGATATGTTGAATTATTAAGTTGTCAAACATTAGCTCACATGTTTTCTTTAGAAATAGATGATTTTAAGAAAATGAAGGATTTGATTAGTGTATACATGTGACAAATTTAGGATTTAACTATTAAGTAATCAGTCAAAATAAAAGTGTATATGATATAAAGAGTGAGAAAGTCAAGTGTTGATATTTTATGCACTACTATTTTTTGCACTACTATTATCTGCACTATGATGTTTTATGCAGTGTAATTATTATCATTCTTTGTCTTTTGTAAATTCTTAATTGAGTTCTTTTAGTAGTTAGTTTTTAAATAGGATTATGATGATATGTATTGTTTATTTATTTTGATACGTTTTTTTATTGTGCTTGAGTTTATTTCATTAATTTTTTTATTGTAATTGGTCTTTATTTATTTTATTTTTTGAACTGTTTAGACTTAAGACATGTTGAAGTTCTATTATGCGTTGTTAAAAAAAAAAATTGTGTCGACCTCTTTAGTAATAAATATATTTTTTTTAATTATGTAGTAAATCAAATTGTAAAATAAAAAATAAAAAATTAGCGGGCCGTACCGCCAACTCGCTAACTCGTTACTAAACGGGGCGGACTTGGCTTTTGAGTTTGGACGCTTAAGTTGGTCCGTCCCGCCCCACCCCACTTTTGGACGGACTTAAATGGGACGGACCGCCCACTTTGCCACCCCTACACTTATGTAATTCAATCAAAATATCATATATTAAGTCAAAATGCAAACCATACATTGTTCACAAAATACAAACTAAAATATAATTAAAAAATATCAACTACCGACTATATTTGACCCCCGGGTTCCTCCTCTTCCTCATGTATTGCAAGGCACTTCGCGCTTCGGCTATCATGGCCTCTATAGTGGCCACTACAAAAGTGTCTTCCTAAAACTCTCCACTCTATATATATGCTCGCTCGATAGCCACAATACGCTAACATGTAGATAACACATTAACGACATGATATGTCCTAACATACTCCTCATCTAATATCCCATGATGAGTTGGTCTAGATGGCTCCCCATCTGCATTCGATGTTTGATAAGTGTTAAAAGATAGTATTTGACCCCATGAAAATTTGGCACTTATTGGCTCAAACTAACGTTTTGTACCATTGATTTCCCCAAGTATTGTATAGGATTAAGTTTGATACATATATGTATATGGTGTTTTTTGATCTCAGTTTTTGTGCAGAAATTTTCACAATTAACCAAGATTGAAACACAAAGCAAAGAAGAAGAGTTTCTGCATGTTCGCCAGGCGAGCATCTAGCGAGGAGACAAGAGCTCGCCCAACAAGCCAACAACGAGGCTCATGCATGGAGAAACAAAAGCAAAACTCATTCTTCTCGTCAGGAAAGCCTCAAGTGAGTCATCTCGCCCAATGAAGCTACATCGAGAGCCAGGAGAGACAAGTTAGAGACTTTTCACAAGAAACATGTCCCATTATCGTTAGGCGAAGCTGCATCAAGGAAGCTCGCCGGGAGAGCCTTTTGCTCGTCTAGCGAGACAATGCGATTTTAGATGCTGAGTTGGAAGATACTTCAAAGTGAAGAAAGGTGTTTCGGCAGGCGAGAGCAGCAAGGCGAGATCACTATATATAGTTAAAAAAATTCATTTGAGGGAGTCTTGGAGAATTTTAGAGAGAAATAGTTTAGTAGAGAAAAAGAGAAGAGTAGACTTGAACAATACAAGTTGGATATGCATCAATTGTCGGGAAATTGTCATTGATGTTCATCCATCTTTCTTTCTTCTCATTTGTAATTAAAGCTACCATGAGAAGCTAAATCTCTTTCTTGTTGGGATTGGATGTAATCCATCGGCACTATATGTATTTATTATGATCATGGCGTTATATATGAATTAGTCATTTATTAATATTGATGTTATCCTTGTTTACTTGATTAAATTATAGATTCGAACCGATATGTTAGTTCTGAGATTTTGGGATTGGCAGCAATTTTGTTAAAACAAGTTTCTCAAGATGTCTTGATATGTTGGTCAGACATCGTTGCAGAGATGTCACACACGATGTTGTGACATGTTATACCAGGTGTTAGGCTTTTGCTTTTTGAAAGATTTGTTTTATTAAATGTGAGATTCTTTGTTGTTTTAGTTCACATTTTGTCGCAATCCAATGAGGGTTATTTTAGGAACATTGGTTTTGTACCAGAAGTGCATTTGTTTCATAAAAAGGGACTTGGAGACTTTTTAGAAAACTTTCTATTTTATTCCTATTTTCACGCAGAAGATTTGCAGTTGGTGTTTTTGGATATGTATTTTATAGCCCAAGCCCATGCTGATCAAAAGATATAAAAAGAGCAGTTTTAAACTTAATGAAGCGTCAAAGTCGTGTATTAAAAAAAGAGTTTTAGAGTTTAATGTGTTCTTTGTTATTTGTGATCCACTCTTATATCACTTTGATATCTGAGTTGGACTGTGTTCATTGTTCATTTGTAAGGCATTCATGTGCCTCTTAGGTTCTTGAATTAGACTATGTTTTAAGTTGTAATCACTCATAAGCTTTTAAGCAAGAGTGAATTTTGTGTCATTGGAAATGTGTCTTCCTTTGTTTATTGTCATAAGTTTTTATCAGTGTTGTGTGGTTGAAGGGAAGTGAGAGGAGTCTCATATCTAGGAGTGTCTTAGATAGAAATAGCACGGGTAGTGATTAGGTGAGAAGATTGTAAGCCGAAGGTTGTTTACTTGGGCTTCAAATAGTGGAATTCCTTCCTGGCTTGGTAGTCCCCAGGTGTAGGTGATGTTGCACTGAACTGAGTCAATAATTGATTGTGTTATTTACTTCCAGTCATTTAAAATAACTTTATAATTGTTTGTGTTGTGTTTCTGTCTTGATCCTAGTGTCGTGATTTCGTACTCGACATTTGGTATCTAATTACCAGAATTTCAATTGGCATCAGAGCAGACACCCTGTTATGTTTAGAGTGAGCTCTAGGGAAGATACTTTATGGTATTATGGAAAAGGAAGAAGGAGGAAATGTTAACAAACCCCATGTCTTATATGGCACCAACTATGACTATTGGAAGACATGTATGATGGCTTTCCTAAAATCTATGGATAAAAAAACTTGGAAAGCTATCATCAAGGGTTGGGAACATCATGTTGTTAAGGATAAAGATGGGAAGGAGACCTTGAAGACAGAAGAGGATTGGTCTAATGAAGAAGATGAAATTTCTCTTGGAAACTCCAAAGCCTTGAATGCCCTATTTAATGAGTTGACAAAAACATGTTCAGATTAATAAACACCTGTACTGTGGCCAAAGATGCTTGGGAGATTCTCAAAACCACTCATGAAGGCACATCTAAGGTGCAAATGTCTAGACTTCAGTTTCTCACTACCAAATTCGACAGTCTGAAGATGAATGATGATAACAACATTCATGACTTTCACATGAATGTTCTTGAAATAGAAAAT